AAAAACCCGGCTGAAAAACCCCAAAAGGGAAAAAAAAAAAAAAAAAAAATCGATCTGGGGCTATAAAACCTCCGGCAGCAGCAGCTCGGGCCCGGATCAGCATGGGGCTGGCTGCCAAATCCTCCCACTCCTCCGCGCAGCCCTGAGCGCCCGGCACGGCCGGCACCTTGCGCCCAGGCTGTTCCTCCGGCCCGGGGAATGCCAAGCAGCTCGGGACGGGGCTGCCGGCGCTTTGGCGGTGCACGGAGCACCCCTGGGAGCGGGATTGCCTCCAGCAACCCTGTGGGCCAAAAATTAAACACGCATGGTGACCTCGCCGTCGCTCGCACCGGTAAATGTGTCGTGCGTAAGGCGAGCAAGGGGCCGGAGCTGGGCGCTGGCTGACTCGGCACACGTGTGTGTGGGTGGCTCAGCTGTGCCGCGACGGCTACGGGCTGAAAGATAAGCTCAGCACCCCAGGAGGGGCGGATTATCGGCACGCCAGGCTGCTGCCCGGTTCCTGCAAACCCCTCTGCGCCTCCGCCTTGCGCTCTGCTTCGGGCAGCAGCAGGCAAGGGGAGGGCAGGAGCAGGCAGGGGGGCCCGTGACACAGACACCTGGGAAATGGGAGACGCAGGGAGCCCAACCCCGTCTGCAGGAGTTGGGGGCCGTCGTGTCCTTTAGTTGCCGATGCCGTAGCTGCCAAACCCATGCTCCCAACACAGAAACCCCCCAAAAAAGGGGGAACCTCTGGCTTGGAGGGGTGGGCCGGCACCAGGAGCACACCCACCGCTGGCTGTGAGCTCAGGGTGTGCCGAGGAGCGAGGACCGTGTCCGGGGAGCACGGCTCTGCCTCCCTCCTGTCCCCCGTGAAGATCCCAACGTCTCCCAGACGGGGAAGGGACAGGGACAAATCCCTCCAGAGGAGACGAGGGGCTGCGCCAGACCTCGGTCGCCAGCGTCGGGCTCCCTTCGCTCCACCTCTGCCCCAGCTCCTCAAGGTTTTGCTCAAGCTCAGGCCGGTCCCAACAAGCAGCTCCCTGCCCCATCCAGCCCAGCAGCCGCCCTGCTTCACCCGGGGCA